GTTTCACCACCGTCTCACACCTGTCCCACACCTGTCACAAACCTGTCACACACCTGTCTCACCACCGTCTCACATCTGTCACACACCTGTCTCACCACCATCTCTCCAAGAGTTATAAATGTGAGACAGGTATTTGTAATTATCTGCCAGGCTGCAAACCCCGCCTTCTTGTTTTTAATATTTATTTTTAAACAGGTTCTTTAAATTTTTTTTATGTTGCTATAATCACAGGAGGCTGATGCCTATAAAGACACGTGCACATGCTCAGTGCACGTGTGCAGTGTGGCTGCAAATAAACAGTTCTGACTCATTTATCTGTCCGATCCTTCAGCCTCTCAGCTAAACAACCATGAACCTTTTCAGCCATTTGTCTTGCTCCTTCCTGCACAGTAATCTGTCTGGACTCATTAAGGACGGTTAAATATTTTAGTCATACTTTCTCTACACGCTGTTTGAACCACAGGAAGTTTTTATGACGCCATGTTTGAGTCGCTCCAAACGCTTTATTACATCTTTATTTCTAAAACAAATTCTTTAAAGTCGTTCTGGTCTCTTTAAAGACTCTGATGATGTCACAGGACTTCTTGTTCCTGCTGAGGAGCTCACCTGGTTTCCTGCCAGCAGCACGGTCCCTGGACCCGGACTGGGCCGGTACGGGATGGTCGCTCCCTTCGGTGGAGACTACAGAGACAGAATGAAGAACTGAAGTGTTTAAACACCTGCGAGCAGAAAACAATCACAGCTGGATGTAAAAACATCTGGAGCTTATTCACACGGACAGAAACATTCAAGTTGAGTTTTATGAGAGCGTACAGCAGGAGTGGGCCAAAGTGTTGTACACAAAATGGGCCAGGAATATGTAAACCAACAGGACAATAAAATACAATTTTTACAATAAAATAAATAAAATCAGAACACCACACAAGAACCAGACAAAGTCCACGTGTTTGTTACGATCACAGAAAAGTTGTATCGCCGTAGGAAAACAAAGTTCAACATTATTTCAATTTCAGGATTACTAATCAGGCTGATTGGATCTTTAATACAGGATTCAAACCTCAGGTGAACAAAAGTGATCCAACAGATCCATCGAGTCGTTTTATGAAACAAACGAAACCATGAACCTGGGAGTGAAAACTGTTTCCACAAGTTCAGGATCAGCCTGGAGCTGCTGATCTGGGACCACCTCTGGTCTGAGGTGTGTTAACACAACGCCAAGACGTAAAGACATCAGCAATGGTCACAGAGGGATTGGGTCAAAGGTCAAATCCAAACCATCTGAAGTCCATCGTTCTATGGAGAGAAACATTATTCACAAGTAGACAACACTTCTGACAGCTGGCAGTCTTCACAGCTGATTCACCCTGAAGGTCAGACCGTGCAGTGACTCTGCAGGCCTCAGTCATAGGTCAAAGGTCATGACAGGACAGTTATGAGTTTCTTTAAGCTGGAAAAAGCTCAGATAAGCGTCAGCTTTGTTCGGCTGATGTGGAACATGAAAGAAACACGATCTGATCTGAAGTTTCACGGCTCAGTTAAAAACGTCCTCCAGGACCCAGAAAATGTCCGTTTTCAATTAAACGAGAACATGTCGAGTTCTTCTCCATGTTCATCACTCTGGAAGTCGTCAGAGTGAAATATAAACGATTGTTTGAGTCATGATGCTGAAAACTTATTTTTTAGACTTGACCTCTGCTACGGAGGAAGAAAACTGCCAAAATAAAAATACAGAAGTCAAAATACGCACCTCCAAGTAAATCATGAGCCAACGAATGCAATAAAACAATAATAAAGAGTTTAGACAATTATTACGCAATAAAATGAGAGAAAAATTAATTTGTTTTATTTTAACAGTAATAATTAATGTCTGATTCTTATTTTTGTTTGTAGCTCTTTTATTTTCAGTTTGTTTTTTAAGAGAGGTGAATATTGTGTGAAGGCAGAAGAAACCTCACACCTTTAGGTGAAACAGAAGCAGAACCAGAATCAGAACCATCAGAACCGAACTCTGAGCTTTTATTGCCCACGTCATGACACACAGGCCACCATGCAACTGCAGCTGTGCTCGTCTGTCAGCAAAATATCTCAGGACCCAGTGGACACATTTGAACAACTTGATTCAAGATGGCTGCCACAGCTAATTGACCGTAGCAAACACAAAGATGTTTTTATTTTCATTTGTCTCTCATTGTGGAGCCGACGGGGGAGTTGGAAATACCGTCGCCCGGGTTGCGAGCACGAAAACGTGAAAAATAAACGAGGCACCGACTTCCATTTTGGTGTGTGGCGGCATGGAGGCGATAAAAAGGTCCCTGTCAAAAACTGGGCGTCCACGTCAGAATCCAAGATGGCCACCACCACCATATATATACAGAGAGAGGCGGCGGGTGACAAGCATTCGGTCAGAGAAAACTGCTTCCATTTATAGAAGAGCTTTAAATCCAGTCTTTGTTGTGAAAAAGAAACGGAGAAATAAAAACAGATGTTCTTCAGTTTGACCGGATTTTTGTGACGTGTGTTATTTTTAGCTGCTTTAAAGCTCGAATCATTCTGATCACATCAAAAGATTCCTCTTCCGTCTGAGCGAAACGATCAACTGCAGCTGCGTCTCAGCGCGAGTAGGTTCGGCTAGGGTCAGCTTTTCTTCAGCTGCTGTCGCACATCCAGATGTTCTGAATACAGATGAGCTCTTTGATTTCACCGTTTCCTCTCCGAGTCTCCAGGACGATGCTCCTCCTGACGGCCGCGACCTCGTACGCCAACAATCTGAGCAGAGATTCATTTACTGCTGGACGGGTCCGGATCCACAGCTGGACCGGTCCGGACCCACAGCTGGACGGGTCCGGATCCACAGCTGGACCCGTCCGGACCCACAGCTGGACCGGTCCGGACCCACAGCTGGACCGGTCCGGACCCACAGCTGGACCGGTCCGGATCCACAGCTGGACCTGCAGCTGCCGTCGCCTCCACACAGCTTCAGAGGCACCCGGCAGCTTTTACTCTTTTTATTGTGACCACAGAGAGCCTCCATGTCTGAACGTCAGATGTCTTCATTTAATTTAATTAATTTTTTATCTGGAGTGGAATGAGTCGACACGTTAGACTTTACTGTGGCTCAAAAGAACAAAACCTTCATCTAAACCTGTTAGTAGGTGCTGAAGGTCCTAACTAAAGGTCCATAAGGTCTGTAAAGGTCTTGTTAGTGATCATGATTGACCGCAGCCAGCACTCGGTGACCTGACCAGAACTCGGATCTATGAGAAACGCCCAAGAGCTTCAGAGAAGATCTCTCATCAGGATGCTGCTGGAGATGCATCACTGTGAGGAAACATCACGACAGGAGCGTCGGGTCAAGATCCAGTTCTAGTGTTCTGGACTCGTGACAGCCGAAAGGAGACACGTCGGAGACAGAGACGTACCTCCAGGATGACAGAGCAGATGAGCTTCACACACTGGATGATGGCGTCCTGACCTCCTGATACCGTCACCTCCCTCTCTGTGGAGTTAGGGAGGAGGTCACCTGCCACCTGCACCTGCGCACCTGTTGTCTACACACACCGCACAAAACACACGCACGCACACACACAGTCACAGAGGAAGTGCTGTCAACATGGGAGCAGAAGCTTTTTGTTGTTTTCTTCTGTACTTTTTAGTTGTCCAACTACTTCAGCTGACATTCAGCTGATTCTGCCATTCAGGGATCAAAATGTTCAGCTACTTCAGAACGTTTCGGCTACAACTTTTAGTTTTTGGAACTTTTCAAATCCTTTAACGTTAACTGAATTTTACTTCAGCACATCTGAGTCATATTTAGTTTTTAGCTGCTGTTAGGCTGGGTTTTTTTTTAGATTTCAGCTGCTTTTTTGGCTGGTTATTAGTGTTCAGTTGCTGTTTTGCATTTTTTAGTTATCAGCTGCTATTTGGCTAGTTTTTAGCTTTTAGTTGCAGTTTTGATGGGTTTTCCGCTGCTGTTTGGTTGTTTTTTAGCTTTCTGCTAATGTTTGCTGGTTTTAACTTTCAGCTGCTGTTTGGCTGGTTTCTATCTATCAGCTACTGTTTGGCTGTTTTTTTAAGCAGTTGTTTTGCTGGTTTTTAGTGTTCAGCTGTTGTTTTGCTGGTTTTTAACTTTCAGCTGCTGTTTGGCTGGTTTCTAGCTATCAGCTACTATTTGGCTGTTTTTTTAGTTGTTGTTTTGCTGTTTTTTTGCTTTCAGTTACTTTTTGGCTGGGTTTTAGCTTTTAGCTGCTGTTTTGATAGTTTTTCAGCTGTTGTTTGGCTGTTGTTGGCTTTGGTTCGGATGGTTTGAAGCCTTCAGATGGCTCAGGGTGAATGTGAAGACAAATGTTTAGAGAGCACGCAGAGTTTAACGCTCGGCCTTCGTTTTCTTCTGATGTCGTTCGTTTGACTCCCGTTGCCATGGAAACCGTCAGCTCAGCACCACTCAGAGCGAGCGGAGCGGCGGCTCTGAAGGTTTCGTCCTCCAAACAGCTGAAGTCTTTGCAGCCAGGGACACTCTGCTTGTCCCTCAAGATTTGATTCTGACAAACATCCGACGGGGCCCGAACGAGTCCGTCACAAACCGTCTGACGACTGAAGGCAGCTTGGTTCTGTCAGAACCGACCCGTCAACGCCCAAGTGGGCTGTGATACAAACGGATAAAGAGAACAGACTCTATGGAGTTCTTGGTCATGTGGCTCTGGAGCCACATGTGGGCCCTTTGGTCCTCCTTCAGGGACACTCAGGACTCCAACAGGAAATGTTTGTTAGAGTTGAGCGTTAATGTAATTTGACTTTAGTGCTTTAATTTCTTTTATAAAATAAAAAGCTCATTTCTCCTGTTTGAACATGCACATTGAAATGCTCACATTAGTTGTTGTTGTTGATTTATTGACGAGTTGTTTGTTGTTTAGCTCGGCACACTCACCTCTCTGATCTCCTTGATCTTGGAGCCGCCCTTACCGATGAGGGAGCCACACTGGCTGGCCGGGACGACCAACCGCAGCGTGACCGGAGGTTTGAGGGCCACCGCGCCGTTGGCCACCAGCGCCGACAGGTCCTGACAGGAAACGACACAAACAGATGGATTCAAACCCGCAACTGTGGAGGCCAAAACAAACAAATTAAAGGAGGTGGAGACCAGTGGAGGAGGAGACGACGAAGAGCTTTACATGTCAGCTTCAGCTCGGCCTCGTTGATTAACCGATCGTACTCACAGGAAGTGATTCAGGCCGTTATTTATTAGCAGAGTTAATTAAAGAACCAGAGGAGGAGGAGGAGGAGGAGGAGGAGGAGGAGGAGGAGGAGGAGGAGGAGGAGGAGGAAGAGCAACAGCTAGGATTAAAGCTGGACTGACGCTCAGGATGAGACGGATCGTCTTCCTGTTCCTGTGGTCCGACAGGTTCTGATGGAACCACACAGCCACAGTTGGGTAAAATAAAACCTGGTTCTGTTGGGTTTTAGTCAGCGCTTGGCCTGAGAGCGAACATGTACCGTTAGTCTTACTGGGTCGGGTTAAGTTTCATCTCAGAACTTTCCTCTGATGCTAAACTGAGAAGAGAAACGAGCTGCAGAAAGATCCAGATCCAAGCTGAAGGTTTGAAAAGGTTCTGGTCCGGTTCTTCCAAACACTGGGCTCACATCCTGCAGCCCAAATGGACTCAAGTTAAATTCAAGCGCTAAAAACGTAGTTCCCCCTAAATGGTTCTTTTCATGATTTTATTTGGAGTTTGTGGATTAATCTCATTAAAAATCTTCAGATTATTCTGCTTTAAACTCTCGGCTTGAACTTCTGGTACCGTCGGTCTGACTGTTCTGGGCCGGGTGGGCCTGTCAGTCAAAAAGAGTCTCCAGAACTTCTCCAGAACTCCACCTTCTGCAGGTTAGACGATTGTTATTTGAAACAGTTTGCCAGTTCTTCCAGCAGTTTTAAAAACACACTTTGCTCTGATTTCTTTCATTTTGCTGCTTTTCTCAAACAGAACAAAGCTGAGAAGATCTGAGAAGATCCTCGTGACCTCAGCTCTTCATCAACGCGTGAAGGTTGAATCTGAAGCTTCAAGGCTGAGCCGTGAATGAAACCACCTGATAAAAACACTGAATTAGTTTTCTTTTATAAAAAACATGAAGTGTTAAAACGCTCTCAGTGGATTTATTTTCTGTGGACAAAGAGGCGTCCTGGATCTCCTGGTTGGATGGAGCAGGAACCAGCTGTGGCTGAACCTCACTTTTTAAACCCAAATGGGTTCTGCTCTTCCTTTAACGTCATAAAACCAAAACTCGCCAGCACGAAGTCTCCGAGGACTCCAGGACGAGCTGCAGGGACGGAGGATACCTCGTATTCAAAATCAACGTTTTTTATTTCAATAAATCGTTTCACTGAAAACTATCAGGATGTTCAGAAACACAGAAGACCAGAACATTTCCTGTTAAACCATCAAACTGGATCGACTGTCAGAGACAGGAAGTGAAGTGCAGGGGACAATGTAAGGGTACGATTTGTCCAACAATCCCCTTTTAAGCTTTTCTCTTCAGTCTGGAAGTCTTTGTGGTTAAAACTTTCAGATTTAGCTCTAAAAACTGTTATTTGAGAGCTTGTTTTTGTTTTTAGAGTTGTTTAGTTCTGATCTGAGGAGGCTGACAGTCGGATGGAGGTTGTCCAAGGACCATTTGTGGCCTCAGCCTGTTATTGACCGTAAGTGGTTCAGGAAATGAGACCTAATGGAGTTGGCTCTGATAATGTTCCCCTGAGAAAGTGTTGTGTTCGTAGCTACATGCTCTGGAGCAAGTGGCAGATATGAGCTGGGTCAAACAATCCCATTAGACAGGACCTGAATGGCTTCCAGCCAGAAAGGAAGCGCTGCAGAGGATTTAAAGGTTAGCTTCTTCTCTGTGCACGTTTGGTTCACAGTGAGGCTTTTATTATTTATAGAGATTTAAAGCCCAAGTAAAAAGGCTTCACGTCAGATAAAGAAAAAAGCGTCAAAACATTTGAAAAAATAAAAAAAGAAGACAGGGTCTTAAAAAGGAGGTGAATCAGTTACAAAACACTTAAAAATGACCAGAGTTCTTCATCCTGACTCCCGGAGGAAAACACATCCAGAATCTGAGACTCACAGCAACAAAAGCATAAGGAAATTTAAGGGTCTAGAAGATGTGGAAGGAGATGTGTGAGATCACAAAAAAAAACACATTTTATCTCTTCCAACTTTCAGTTTTCATCTGATTCAGAATAAAAAAAAAGACATTTAGTAGAAATGGTGCAGAACAGCAACGTGTCATGTCAGGTGAATGTCATACGCTGAAACGCAGCCCAAATTCTGGGTTACTCAACTTCCTGGCACAACCACAGACCACTGAGCTACCACAGCCTCTGTGTGGAGCAGAGAGCTGCTATCTAGGGCACCCAGGGGAGCAGATGGTGGGGGTTAAGGGCCTTGCATAAGGGCCCAGAGTGGGGCAAATGAGGATGAGGAAGGTGTGTGTGTTTCACTTTTCCCACCCAAGTTTTTTATGTTGTTGGTCCGGGGGGTCGAACTGGCGACCTTCCTACAACATGCTCACCTTCTCTAACCTCTGTGCCATCACTCCCCATATTTTACATACTGGACATAAATTTTTACATTTCTTTTCCATCTTTAAACAGGAAGAAGTGTTGGCTGGAGCACTGTTTTTACCCAAAAGGGGCGGAGAATTGTTTTCTCCCAAAAAGAGGCGGAGCATTGTTCTCTCCAAAAAATGCCACCCAGAGTATGGATATGTTGCTGTGTTCTATAAGAAAAATAAAATGGGTCCAAGAACCAACCCCTACAGCACCGAGCAGGTCAGAAGCTCAGTGTGTGTTTGATGTGTGTACAGTGTGTACAGTGTGTATACAGTGTGTGTACAGTGTGTGTACAGTGTGTATACAGTGCAAATACAGTGCGAGTACATTGTATGTATAGTGTGTACAGTGTGCATACAGTGTGTATACAGTGTGTGTACAGTGTGTACAGTGTGAGTACAGTGTGTGTACAGTGTGTATACAGTGTGTGCACAGTGTGTGTACACTGTGTATACAGTGTGTGCAGTGTGTATACAGTGTGTGTACTATGTGTGTACAGTGTATGCGCAGTGTGTGTACAGTGTGTGTACAGTGTTCATACAGTGTGTGTACAGTGTGTGTACAGTGTGTATACAGTGCGTGTACAGTATGTATACAGTGTGTGCAATGTGTGTACAGTGTGTGTACATTGTGTGTGCAGTGTGTGTACAGTAAGTGGGCAGTGTGTCTACAGTGTGTGTGCAGTGTGTGTACAGTGTGTATACAGTGTGTGTACAGTGTGTGCAGTGTATGTACAGTGTGTATGCAGTGTTTGCGCAGTGTGTGTACAAGGTGTGCACAGTGTGTGTACAGTGTGTGTAGAGTGTGTGTACAGTATGTTTACAGTGTGTGCACAGTGTGTATACACTTTGTGAACAGTGTGTGCGCAGTGTGTGTACAGTGTGTGTAGAGCGTGTGTGCAGTATGTGTGCTGTGTGTGCATTGTATGTACAATGTGTTTACAGTGTGTATACAGTGTGTAAAGTGTGTGTACAGTGTGTGCGCAGTGTGTGTACACTGTGTATACAGTGTGTATGCAGTGTGTGCGCAGTGTGTGTACAGTGTGTGTAAGGTGTGTGTATAGAGTGTGTGTGCAATGTACGTACAGTGTGTATAGTGTGCAATGTGTGTGCAGTGTGTAAAGTGTGTGTACAGTGTGTGCAAAGTGTGTGTGCAGTGTAAGTACAGCGTGTATACAGTGTGTGTACATTGTGTGTGCAGTGTGTGTACAGTGTTTGTGCAGTGTGTGTGCAGTGTGTGTACAGTGTATTTACAGTGTGTGTACAATGAGTATACAG